TGTATGAAAAATAAGCACCTCCAGCAGTCCAGCTGTGTTTCAAGTAGGGTTATAGCATCAGCATCATGCCATTTTCTCAGGCTGTATTTCCCTACAGGCTCCTACTTTCTCAGACACGTATCATTTTGCCAACTTATAAAAACATGCATTATTTTTGCACCTTATTGAGATGGAAGTAGTCAGATGGATCAATCACAGAGACTCAGTGCAACAAAACACAAAACGACAGGACAGGCTTCCCTCTTAGTTCCCAAAAAATACTTCTGGGTCACCAATATCATACAGAGAGATCATATTCCACGCTCACAAAAACATTTGGTCTATATTGCCACTTGGCTTTCAGATGTTCTACAAAGGATGTCAGCTGGTTACGTTACTGGCACTGCTGTCATGGGAATATCATGCCATTGAGTGAGCCTCCAAAAGAGCCTAAGTTAGGCCTTGGACTGATAATGTCCTAGCAAGTGATAAAAGCCTTTAGTGGAGTCAATTAAATATATGGATAAAAAGCTTCTCTCTCTTAATCCCTTTAGGATTTTATTTTCAAGTCCACAAGTTATTTAATACACATTTCTATAGACACACATATCTGAGTCTGTGCAATTTTTTTGGAGAAGGCTACATATATGCTGACATTAAAAATATCCAAGACAAGGGGCAATTTATTAAGAGCAGCAGGCCAGATTTGCAAGTTAAACACTGTTAAAATACCTGTCTTTTTCCTATTCATGTCTGCATTCCAGGTTCTCTGCTGATTGCAGAGCTATGATACAATGCAGTAAGAATCTGGAGGAAAAGCCTGATGTTTTAGTATGAAGTTCAGAACTTGATTTCACAAACACACATATATATACACTGCCCTCTCTCTATATAAATGCATATATATGTATTTGCATTCATGTGTACATAAATATATAAAGGCACAGAAGCACTGAAACAATGACTAACGAATGGCACTCTGCTTTGTGGTCTGATGCTGTCAAAAGTCATGTGTTTTTACTTAAAAATCATGTTTAAATGTAGAATTTATCTGAAGTATCAGAAATTACAGCACATATTTTTGCTGAAGTTTATATCAACTGTGGCAGTAACCAGTAACTGGAATGTCAGTACCCCATCAATAGACATGCTTTTTAAAAACTTATGTGTATGAAACCTATGTGTGTGAAAGTTTTTAGAAGTTATGTGTATGAAATGATTTATGCTTAGGAAAAATAACTAGACAAAAAGAAACCATGATGCAACTGAATAAGAGAATTCTGCTCATCGTTTGCAGATGATTTTAAATTGAAACATGTATAGTAGCTTTGTGCTTTTTAATTTCTTTTCTTAAAAAAAGATAGCATCTCCAGTTCCTTCCTGTACTAACTCAGTTAGCAATCTTCTACCCTGATAACACTGGAGTGGAAAACAACAGTGAAAAAACCTTCCAACATATCATTCAAATCATATCTAAAAAGGTGGTCATAAATATTTTAGAACCCAAGCAAACTAATAAGAGTTAGGCCCATTAAGGATAAGATCTTTTACAACAAATTAAATAAAACAATTTATTGGAGCCTGGACTTGAGATAAACTAGATTTACTAGCTGACCCTTTATTCATTTAAAGAACAAAATTAGCTCTAATTGCATTAGAATGGAATCCAGTAAATTTCTTCTAATGTGGCATCCATGCAAGTATTGCTGTAATTGTTTACAACTAAGATGGAAATGCTTTGATTATAATCTACTTTCTTCTTGTTTTACTGCACAGTTAAAACACTCCCCCAAAAAAACACTGATCTGTAACATTTTTTCCTATATTCGTCCCTCTAAAGGAACAGCTACATTTTCATGTCTATTAAGCTGACATTACTAATAGCTATCTCTTTTGAACTGATGTGTGTTGGAAGAATATTTGCATGCTGGACAAGCTTGAGTGGCCAGAATATACTTGTATTCATAAAAAAATAATGAAGGAGACTCCTCTGCCACAATCAGCATTGCTTTGTACACTGGTCCAAGCAGAGGAGCTCAGAAGCAACATAACTGGAAATTGCTCCACTGCAACATCATTTTCCTCAGCACTGCAGTATTTAAACTTGTGCTGCATCATTAGAAATCTGAATTTCCATTTTAAGTGCCATTCAATCTGACCTCTTTTCTTCAGATACTTGGTATTAGGAAGAATGTCTTCATGCAATGGATGGTCAGGCATTGGATCAGGCGGCCCAAGGAAGTGGTGCAGTACCCATCCCTGGAGGTGGTTAAGCAGATGGAGCACTAAGGGGCACAGAGTATAGTCGGTCTTGGTAGCATTAAGTGATGCTTAGATTTGATGACCTTCATGGTCTTTTCCAACCTAAATGATTCTACCATTCAATGATATATACTTTTTGGATTCACCAAGATCTCTAAGTACAATATTTTGCATGAAGCTTCCCCAAGAGAGACCAACTTCCAACTGAAAAGGTATTTAAGTACCTCTCAAACCCTCCCAACAGCTTTTTCTTCTAACAGAGGGAACTGAAAGAATTCATTTGCCTATCTAGTTTTTATACATCTTTTTCTATCAATCCTAAAAAACGTAGACAACTTTCTATGGCCATTCACAATAATTTAAAATAATCTTATGCTAGTATAAACTCCAGAGACATCTCAATTGACACACAACTACCTGATATTCATCATCAACACAGATGAAATGTAAGTTTAACTTTGCCCTGGTATAACGCATCACAAAAGCATCACTCTTGTTTCTGTCCCTTACCAGCTATGTAAAAGGTTTATGAATCTACTGTGGTCGGGCAACTAGTAACTTTGAATCCAGGTGGCAGAGATTTCTGGAATTAATTCAGCAGCCCAAACCATGTATGCAATGCTTTGTCTCAGAGTTTCACATAAACGATCACTTCTAATAATGAGCACCACATATGAATTCATACTCTGAGTCCAGGCTAAATATTAATTGTTTTATGAAAGCAAAATGATTATTTACAGTAGGAGAGCTCCCATGAAAGCTCATTAGACACTGGATCAACGTGCAACACAAAACAATTGCCAGACCCTGAGCCAAGTGGTACAAACTGTGCTTTCTTCTGCTTCAGCAAATTTCTTCCTGGAATTGGCCTGGGAAAGCTATGACAAATCCTAAAAGCTCCAACAAAGCTCCAATAGTTCTTGTTTACCATTGTTTAGAAGATACAGGTGGGTGATAAGGCCATCACACTCAGATAATGTTACGGGGGCCCATGCAGTAGGCATAGAGGGGAGATACTTAAGGTAGGAAAGGGAAACACGTAAACAAATAGAGATGGAATACTAAAGACTGAAGACGCATTTGGTTATGTAGCCTAAAGCAGTAGCAAGGACAAGTGTCAAGTGGAGGAGATGGAGCTTCCCTCTGAGCCAGTAAAGATGCATAAGGAAGCAGAAACAGAAATGGGTTTTCCAAAAAGCCAAAAACCTAGATGTCAGTATCTCTGACCCACCGCAGGCTGACACAGCTGAAAATGACGTACCCATACTACTTGCAGCAAGCAGAAGTAGTATCAGATCTCTTTTCAAAACGTGTGTGGGTGTGAGAATGATGGAGGAGAGATAAGAGTGCGTGCAAAATCAACTTTTTGGTGCTAAAATATGGCTTCAGAGCCATAATTCAGAAGTTCTGCCTTGAAAATATGACTTTTTTCCTGATATAAACACTTCCACAACCCTTGAATAAAAAAGTTTGAAAGTATCTATAGCTCCTCGAGAAGGAAAATGGATTTAGAGGCTTTTAATGCAGGACAGATAACTTCTGAAAAGCAGGATCTTTCACACAGTCTGAGCACAGAAATTTTAGATCATACACAGATACTGTGAAAGGGAAAAAACAGGAATGGTTAATGTGCATAGGGAGAACAGGAAAAAGTCCTGATATTTGGGGTGGTTTCTCACAGAAACTAAAAAGTCCCATAGCAATTTTGCACCAGTATAGCTCACAAATTATCTACTGGGCAAGATAGGGGAATAGGATAGCAGAGAAAAACAAAATAATAATCAAAGACGCCACTCAACTTATAACACAGGAAAGTTAGTGATCAGAAGGTTTAGTTCTTGAACGGCTTTAAAAGAGAAGCAACTTGATTAGCAATATTTAATGGGATGAATGAAAATAAAAAATCTGGTGCTCATGTTTGCCATCAGACATAAAAGTGCACTCTGCACAATTAAAAAAATCACTGAAGAACCCAATTAAAGGAAAACACAAGGCAGGAGCAGCCTATAAAGCCCAGTGATGCTTCATTTCCTCAGCCTCTACAGCATAAGCAGGCAGCTGTACAATCTGAGCATAGGGATCAACCTACTTATGGTCATCAAGTACTAGGTAACTATTATTTGTATGACAACACCCAATAATTAAGGAGCTAATGAACAAACATTTAAAGTGTGTTAGGTACATTCAGAAATAATCAACAATTATAATAAAATAGATATGTATGAAGGCATTTCAATTGTTGTGTTTTAAAGCACAAAACAACTGTTAGTTAAAATGCATTATGAAACTGAGCTGCAGGTTACCCTAGGGATACCTAGCCATTATGGAAGCTTGGCTGAATGTCACTGGAGGCAGCATGTGAGTCCTGATGGAGTCTTCTAATTGTTACTGGGAAACACAGTAGGATGAATGGAAGATGATAGGTTCCACTTGCAGAGCAGAACAAAAAGGGAAAAATGTCTAAAAGGTTTCTATTGGTAAGTGTTCTGCTTGAGTTTTCATAAGAATGGTCAAAAGACATCACAGAATGATAGAATGGCTCACTCTGAAGGGCATCATGTAGCTCCAACTCCTCTGCCATGGGCAGGTCTGCCAACCACTAGATCAGGCTGCCCAGGATCCCATTCAACCCGTTCATGGCTGTATGAATGTCATTTACCACTAACATTAAAGTGTTTCCAACTGAAAGTAAGAGCTGCTACACACCAGAGATGAAGAACTGTGTAAGGCATATTGTAGATGGCTTATTTTGTACTTACATCTTGTCTTGGCCTGCACCCACTCTTAGTGTCAGCCGAGGAATAACTGGTGATGGAGCCGGAACAACTGGTTCCACCTTTATCTGTGCAATGGAATAAAATCACCAATCAAAGACTGTAAAGAGATTCCCAAAGAATATTAATTACAAGAAAGCACTGATAGAATTAACCAGAGTATACCAGCTCAATGAGAAACTTATGACTGACTGATTGCTGTTCTCATCTTCGTGCTGCAGTGTGGATGGTTACACCTTGTTGGGAGCAACACGGAAATATGAATTCTAGACTAAAATGTTATATTGAAATTTCACTGTGTTTGTAACAGCTCACACACTTTGTTAAGATTTATTTAGAGAGACAAAAAAAAATCGGTTAACAATGACATGAAATGCTTAGACCTTAGTGCTCAAACTTGACAGGTGTATGCACGTTTTTTTTTCTGAGGTACACATTCAAGCAGTTACTACTCAGATTCACTACATAAATTATATTCTTTAAACAAAATTAGACAAAGAGGAAGCAAATGAACCTCTAGCATCAGCTCTGAATGCTTCACAAAGTGTTATAGATATAACAGAATCACTGATTTTTAATGGAATTCAGCTAGGTTTCTAATGGCTGTTTTTCAGATGGAAATCAGATGGTCTGATTTCCTGCCTTGGTAGATTCAAACCACTTGAAGACGTCCTTAAATGCTTGGAATTAGTATCTTGGAATTACTGACTTCCATTGAGCTAAACAAAGCCATTGCTTTGCAACACCTGTACAGCATCCTCTCAGATTTTATGTGTGAAACTCTAATGATTTTCTATATATGAGTTGCTCAACTTATACTAAGATACATGAAAAGAAGTGTATATACATTATACATAAAGAGAGAAGGAGACTGATATCGTTTTGAGCACATGCATCATCGTATTTCATAAAATAAGAATGTAGTGGAATCTGGTCCAAGAACTTGAAAGACAAAAATAGTACGTGTACACTAAAAGGAAACCTGAGTAATTCTCATTGGGAAGAATCTGTTTTAAAATGCTTTCCTAACGAAAGGAAAGACACCATTGATTCTAAGCACAGAAAGCAGTGCAGGAGACGGGAGGCCAGAGTGGAAGGACTCAGTTGGGACTTGGAGTTACTCTAACAGCACTCCATGGATATGTATTAGCCTGCTTCACAGGCTACTCTACTCTCCACTCTTTTGTTTATACAGCACAATTTTTTGTGACATCATTCCCCTGCAGTGCTGCAAGTTTTTTCCTCTGGAGCTCCAAACGGCTGGAACGATTTCACTGTTACTTTCCATAGGTAAGCCTTTTAACTGCTTTCCTGGCACTCTAAACTGTAGCATCACCCACAGGAATTGAATCCTGGGCACAGGAGGCTCAGGTATGCAGCTTTGTGTACTGATTACGTACTATCTCATAGGTTTCTCCACATCCTTTTCTGTCATGGCAATTCCGAACATGAAACTTCCTAGGACAGCCACTGCTGCTTAGCACCGAGAGACACCCATCTCATTAGTCCTCTGTATTAAGATTTTTGCATTACTACCTGCATATCAGGAAGAGGTTCCAAGCAATGGTGGCAGAAGAAAAGCACGTAAAGGACTTTTTAATGTAAGATACTTACATCGTCTGCTTTGAGAGAAAACTGTGCTCCACAACAATCCAAACTACTATCTTTTGATAGTATAGATAGTTTGTATAGATACAAGAGGAGAGAAAGGGTTTGCAGGTTGGAGCAGAGGGCAAATTAAGGAGCGTTGATAAGTGTATTGTGGATACCGTGGGCACGCTCTACATCGGTAGAATTTTTACTTGCAAGTAAGAGGAGTTTATTTGGGGACAGCACTGGCAAGCTCTATCTCGATGCTACGATAGCTCCATTCCTCACGCAGCAGTTCCTCGACTGCTTTAGTTTACAGCTCAGAGTATTAAGTTTAGCTGGAACTGGGTCAGCAGCTGCCTCACGAGCTGCTCAGTCATTCCTACAGCATGCCCGGTAATCTCCATCATATAAGCAGGGTGTAATTGCTTCAATTGTCTGCTTTTAATTTGGTAATGCATGCAAGACAGCACCCTTGCTCCTAGGCTCTTCTGCAAGCCTTGCCCAAATTTCCTCTTCTTCGGCCATCAGCCTGTCCTTTTGCAGCACACAGTTAGCTTATTTTCAGTAGAGTATTTGGTGCTGCTCTGAGTTTTCCTATCCAGCAACCTGGGACAAAATTACAGGGAAAACTCTGCAATATGCTTAAATTCCCCAACAGGACGGGATGCATGCTTACACAGTAACTGTAACTATACAAAAAAATATACAGAAATGCTACCATGGATTCTTATACAGAGTTAGATCTTTTGTTTAAGCATAGTACTACTTGCTAAGGACTGAGTTACGTAATGACTGAGATTTTGTAATGGCCATCAGCTGCTGTCAGCTCACAAATCCAACCTTCCAGGTTGTGCTTCTGCCTCCAAAGCTCAGCATCCGAGCAGTAACTTGATCATTTGCTCCTACAGCATGACTGCTGGCTAAATAAGTCATTGTGTGAACTAAAAGCTAAATTAAGGAAACATGTACTTTTAGGGGTTAAAACGAAAGAGCAGCATTCTGGAGTAATACTGGGAATTGGGGCCAGCAGAAGAGCATTTACAGTGGATTACTAAGCTTCCCAAATCACCAAAGAGGTAAAGTCCAGCAATATAAGACTCCTTTGTAGCTAACTAAAAATACATTGTCAGTGGATTTGTCCAGTTTTATGTATAAGCAATACTTCTTTCACCTGAACTAATACTAGTAGTCATATAAGCCCCTTATTGCCATGTGCTGCATTTTTTTTGCTAATCTTCAAGGATTTAGCTTCTTTGCCACATACCTCAGGGCACCAACTGATAAAGCTCTAACTCTCCATTTTTCCAGGACACCAGCAGTGCGGCCTTGCAAAAAATGAAAATCGCTCAAGAGATTTAAAGGGGAAATTTATTTTTAAAATCCTGACGACTTGCAGCAAAGAGGTGGATTTTAAAAAAGCTTATCTACCAAGAATCAGTTTAAATTTTAATTCTATCTGGGGACTCTTTCATGCATTCTAGCTTTAAAGTTTATCTTTTGACAGGGACTTTTTGCCAAGGTAATGGGCAGCTTTGTCAATTTAATTTGTCCAAGTTTTTATTGCTGTTGGACTCCTTTTCCTAATACATATATGTTCAGTCTCTGTTGAAGCTTTACCAGTTTATATTTGTTTGTGTAGCTTTTATATTGCTCTAAAACAAATCAGATGGGGAGATTTGGGGAACAATGCAAAACATACGAAAAACAAGCAACTTACCTCTATTATCTATGTGTGTACTTAACTTAAAGAGAAAAGTCTGCAGAAATTCTCAGTCAGATACTGACAAAATGCCTCGAGCATGAGGGGCAGGGAGAAAGCTGCCATGTAGACAAAAGGAGGAGTCCATGCAGCAGCATTGCTGCAAGCTAAAACTCAGACATTAAATTAACAGGGACAGCTGGAACACCACCCTGTCAATCACTGATTCATCCATGGCAGACAAATGTTAAGTTTTCCAGATCACCTGGATTCTGCATCGAAAATCCATTTTCCAACTTGAAAAACTGGTGTAAGTTTTGAAATCAGCAGTTTGCTTTAAATCTGCCTGGTAGCACACCAGGGTACCGTCTCTCACAGCATCAAAAATGGATAGCAAGGAATATCCCAAGTCCAAGCTTGTACAAAGTGTGTATTACACTCAAAGCAGGACGTAAAGAGATTCATTGTAAAACCAGAACGTAAGCAATGCTTCCTAATGCTAAGGATAGAGATTAAGGAAATCCTGTATCCAAGGTTATCAGTATCCAAGACAATCTCTTTCTTTTCTGCTTTTTTTTTTTTTTTTTTTGTATTAACAATTTAATGCACAATATAAGTTTAAGTGACAAAAAGTACAGCAAACCTTGAATTAGGGAAGTCATCCCTAATGGGATTTTAAATCAGATAACATGCAAATATGCTAGTTTCATTTTTTTATATATTAAAGATATTCTCAAGATTAGGTGATATTGGAAAGAAGGAACTGTCTTTGGCTGATATAAATCAGTAAGAGCTACAGGAGAAGAAGTAGCTCAGTCCATTTGAAAGTCAGGTCTCCCTTCTTCATCTCAAGCTTAAAAATCTAAGTGAAAGGTGATATTTGAACATTCAGAGTATGCATTTAGACTACAGGTTGACAACAATTTTCTTATTTCCATCTAACTGAAGCAACTCTGTGGTCTTCCTAATAGAGGACTCAGTAGCTCTGATATACAAATAATGACTTATTCTAGGGTGGTCTGTTCCTCATTTATGGCCATCTGACCAACCTACAGACTTCTACAAGCTCTGAAACAGCAGACTTCTAGAAACTAAATTTGAATTTTATATGAAAGGCTGTTGGCCCTACTAGAGAAAATCCACAGAACAAAATTTGGGCATTGCAACAGAGCATACATTTGTTCTGCATTCTGCCAGTGAGTGTAAGTCTTGGCTTTTCTAAGTGAAAAGTGAGTTGAGGAAAACCAGAAATCTCATGCAAAACCAAACCAAACCAAACCAAATCAAAACCAAGGTGAGACAATCTCATATTTCGAATTCACAAAATTGAGCTTCCATTCTTTTGCTTCTCAAAGAAGTGGAGCAATACCTGAAATTTCTGGGGTACTTCTTACTTTGAGGTGTTTATTTTTGTTTGTTTGTTTTAAAGTGTATGAAGTCCGTGGTCACATATCTTACGTAATCAGATATGCTTCTCAGCAGCAAATTCAGGAATCCATGTGCACTTATCAAACAAGTATGCCATCTCAGCTCTTTTAAATAACTCACCTTTTCATGTTTATGTTTCTCTTTTTCTTTCTCCTTCTTCTCTCTTTCCTTCCTCTCCTTTTCCTTATCCTTCTTTTCCTTTTCTTTATCTTTCTCCCTTTCTTTCTTTTTCTTCTTCTCTTTTTTGTCTTTTTTCTTCTCTTTTGGTTTTTCTTTGTCCTCAAACAACTTTTCAGGAAGCATAGGAGACAAGGAAGGTAACATGCTGGGAAGTCTCATGGCAGTTGGTGTGCTGAACAAGGGCAAAGACATTTCTTTGGGAGGTAACACAAGAGGTGCTGATGGAGGCTTTATCTTATCTTCCTTACTCTTATCTTTAACTTTCTCTTTGTCTTTCTTATCCTTGTCTTTTTTGCCTTTCTCCTTCTCTTTCTTCTTATCTTTATGTTTTTCTTTCTCTTTTTTGGTATTGCCATCTTTCAACTTTACTTTTGTGTCAGCATCCTCAAAGTCTTTTAGTTTGAATTTATAGGGATCATGTTCATCATCTTTGAGAAGTTCCTTCCACTGAAACTTTGCCTCCTTGTTTGCTTCCTTGTCTTTATCCTTTTCCTTGTTCTTTTCCTTCTCCTTGTTTTTCTCCTTGTTTTTCTCTTTATCTTTTTCCTTTTGTTTCTCTTTCTTCTTCATTTTTGTCCTCAGCTCTTTCTTCAGTTTCTTTTTTACTTCTACAGATGAGGCCAACTTGGTTTTCTCCTCATAGACTTTGAGAAGAGGTTCTGGAGTTGGTGGTGAAGCAGAAGGAGAAGAGAAGTAAGCGAAGTTCGCAGGTGGATTAGAAGGTGTTCCCATGTTTGCCTTTCGAATGACCTCATCAATCGAGTCATCCATTGTCCATGAAATGTCTGAACTTGAAGTCCCACCTGATGGAGGTACCGGAGTTGCTCCTGCCTTATTAGAACAATTAGCAGAAACAGAAGGTTTAGGAGTTGTAGTTGTAGTCTCCGAAACAGAAAGTCTTTTCGGACTGGTAAAAATTTCCCCTTCTGACTCAGAACCAGAGGAAAACTCAAAGGGATCGGGTTCTCGTTCAGCACATGCACGAGCAATCACAGCATCTATTGAATCATCAATAGTCTTGTCCATCACTGGTAATTTCTTAGTCTGGTTTTCAATATTTGGCTTGGTCACAGGCTCGGGTGGTGTCTGTCCTTGTTTTACTTGAATGTTTTCCTTTCCTATTTTGTCACTTAATGCAGCCAGAGGGGTTCTACTTGGTGTTTCGGGCTTAACAGGTGGTGGGGGAACATGAACAGGAGCCTTTGGACTTTTGGGACTTTTTGGGCTCTTGGCGCGACCTGGTGACTTTTTTTCTTTGGATCCAGTTTTTGGTGAACGTATGGGACTTCCAGCAACCACTGGTGAGGGAGTAGTTTTAGGTGATTTTGTCTTTTGTCCTGGAGAACTTGTTTTGGACTTTGTCTTGGGTGCAAGCGGCTTTGACTCTAATGTCTTGGGGGTTGGCACTTGTGATTTTGCAATAGGAGCCAACATTGGTGGTTCTGGTGAAGGAGGGGCTAAGTCTGTACTGTCCTGAACATGAACTGGAGAAAGCATTGGAGGTACTTTTTGAGTGTTTATTGAGCTAAGAGGCTCACGTGGTTCCAAAGCTCCATCTAGAGTGTCTCCTTTAGAAACGGACAGTTTTGGTCGTTTCATGGGTGGAAACTCTTCAGCATCAGGACTTTCTAACGGTCTCTTGCTCAAGTAATTTTCATCATTAATTGCCTCGTCCTCTTCCATATCTCCCTCTTCTTCCAGCGGCACCTGCATGGCCTCCGCAGATGTACCTCCATCAGTTGGTACTTGCTCCTCTTCCTCTTCTGTAACAAAGAGAATTTTAAAAAAGCATTAGGGATAATTCAAAATGCATTTTACGGAAACAAGTAAGCATCAAAAGTTCATGTGCATGTTAGCCCTCATATGCTACCTCTTACATTAACTGCCGATAAAACCACTTCATACCAGTCTATTTGAAAGAAAAGTCAGAAGCTACTTCTGGCTCGTATCACCCGCTGTCACAACTGGAAGGTCCCCCCATTCCAGTGTAACATCAAACACATGAGAGAAAGACATGAGGACAGACCTCACCCATAGTGGTAAACTTTCTGGAGCAGGTGACATACAAAAATGCCCTGGTTATTTCTTGCTGCATGTTTGAATTACATGAACCTGCTTGATCCATTTTAAACTATGGAAGAGAAGTCAAAGTGGCTTTTTTTTTTTTTTTTCCTGTAACAAAGTGGACTGCGAGGTGTCATTTAAGTAAAATCCACTGGAATTAGCTGTCCTGTTTAAATATCACAGAATTTTGATGGTGGATTAACTACTAGGAAGATGTCTTCCTAAACTGGATTTGTTTTTCTTGAAGCGGCGCAGCTTGAAGGATGAAGCAGCGGACTGAGTTTTGCTCAACTGCCAGGATCTGTTTCTGATTCATCTTAACAGCTTGCTGTATGTGGACATTAGTTATTATGATTACATGGGAGCACCCCTGTGTCACTGTGTGTGTGTGTGCTGGTTTGGATCAGGAGCACACCTTTGAAATTCATCTCCCCATCACCCTGCTTACTGGTGTTTTTTTTGCATCATGGAGCAATTCTGGAGAACATAAACTGGATTCCTGCTTTACTGAAAGCAAAATGAAAGATATTCTGTCAGAGGAATACACCTAATGCTTGAGTTGCAAGTGGGCACTCAGGCTATGGGACCAAAAAAAGCCAACTTTTGAAAATAAAACAAATCCTGAAACATGAACAGTTATGAACATCAGGCACTATTTAAAGCTAGCTAGTGGACGTCTCATGTATGGTTGCTCTGCTTTTGATGAATTATTTTGTTTTTCAATTGCAATTGCTCAATTTTTCCTACATATACCATCGTCTTCAGTCTCACATGTGTCACATTAGAGTGCAGAGAAGGGAGAAAATTCACTCAGTATCTCCCAGAAAATCCATGGCAAGTTTGAGAATGAGAACCTCTGATCTCCTGAACCACAGCCAAGCACTTTATCCTCTTGGCTACACTTCCTCACTTTTAAAATGGAATTATTTAAGCAGGAAAAAGGATTCCAGGTCTGGAATAAGAACGTCCACACGGGAGTTAAACTGACACATTTACATTGCTTGTAATTACGTCATTACATCCATGCTGGTTACATTCCTATGCAGACAACCTCAACTCACCTCACCCTGTGGCCGTGTTAACCCACCTGCAAAAATGGGTGAATTCTGTCCAGCAGAATGATATCAAGTGCCCTAAGGTTCTCAAATGAAACACGTGATAAAAAACATTTATCACGACGGCAGATAAAACCCAACTTCTTAACGAGCAGGAGGTTCTGAAGAAGCAAACACTAACGCTGTTTAAAGCTTCGTAAAACAGCATCTTTCTGAAATATCTATTTTTGAGGCATTTATTTTCAGGTCTTCTATGCTGGAGTTTCTTTAATGTGTCAACGCTCTAATTTAGGAGAGTTCAGTCAAGAGCCCTGGGCTGCAGCACAAATCTTGCCAGCATCACAAATTAAGTAAAATGAGCTAGCAACTCTGGCTTTTGCCAGGGCCCAGAGGATTTACAGCAGCCAGCCCAGAGAGGAGACTTTGCCTGAGGATAAAGTCTTAGCCTTCCGTGAAAAACAGAAATGTTAGGGAGTTAGGTTTTGCCTGGCTGGGCACTGACATTACGTTTTCGAAACAGCAAAGTTAGAGTATAACTGAGAAATCACTGTGGGCCAAGCCTGCACCTGCTATGTGGGAAAAAAAATCTGCCAGATCGTGGAAGTCATTTCAATCTCTGTTTAAGCTGTTGCAGAAATCAGTTCCCTTCATCTGCTCAAAATTGTTTTGGGGATGAAGAATTAGCATTCATCAGATGTCATCCAGCACTGGTTGCTACCAAGCAATTCCCTCCCAACCCATTTCAGCCTAATTTGCTGCTGAGAGTTTGTTTTCCTTTTAAATTTTAAAGAGCGATACAGTTTAAAACAAACAGCATATATCAGAACTGGGATTTACAGAAGTCCTCTGCCCTGGCCACAAGGCAAGAAGTGTAGCCAAATTCAGACATCAGGGAAGAGAGGGTTTGCACATACAGACTGAAAACATATTTTCATACAGAAACCACAAGGATAAACAGCTGTGCATCACAGTCAATAAAGTGGAAGAGAAATTCCTGCAACTAAGAGTAAAAAAATTACATTTACTAGAAAAATCAGAGTATTTTTGCTAAAGATTTCTGCTTGGTGTCTGCTTCGGCAGTCACTCTGTTACACTGCGGTTCACAAAAGGGCACTGCAATATTTCATATTTGTGTAACTCCTTCCCATCCCAAGGTGCTTCTCATGTTTTACCTACTCAGGGTTGCTGAAAATGAGCAGCTGCTGGATCAAAGGCAAAAAAACAGTTTCAGAGGAGGTTTGGAGAACAGGAACCGGCGTTTTGTGCAACAAAAAAGAATGATGCTTATTTTTTTTTATAGAAGGCCAAGTAAAGTTTGCACTGGGCCCAAGAAGTTTCTATGATCTTGTGTGGAGATGCCAGGGAAGGGCAGAAGAGGTTAAAGTGCAGTTTGTAGAGGTGAGACCAGAAATTGGGGTATCTTGGCTCCAGCTTTCATGCACATTCCTGCAAGCCACAAAGACAACTTAGCAAGGAAGCAGAAGCATTACCATCCCTTTTATAAGGACTTAGATTTGCCCAAACATCTGGAAAAAATTGTCTGGGTCAGTCCTGAACAATCCAGGGACTAAGGAAGCTCACGAGCACTTAACTACTGACACACATTCACCACTTTTCAGACATGCTCAGATGACAATCTGGAATCCTATCTTGGTCAAATGAAACCCAAATTTCTCTTGGAACAAGGCCATGGTCTGATCCTCAGCAAGGACTGGTTTTCTGCCAGACAGCAGCTTTCAAACCTGAGCCATTGCAGCTGTGCCCATGGCAGAACACAATAAAGCACTTTTTTGTTTTTCTTCTTCTTTTTTTTTTTTTTTTAATTAGAGAAAGTGAAATCTCTGTCTTATATTTAAGAGCTTTTGGGCCCTGTTTTCCTTCAGAAGGATTTACATTGGACCAGGAACCAAATGTGGGAAAGCATCAGCCTTTAAAGGCAATCTGCTTGACTTGGTGATGAGCATTTAAGACTGCGTGACTCCTTTTTACCTTTGCCCATCTCATTCGCTACCAGGCACTTTTCAATGGGCAATCCTTTGTGCACCAGATTGCTTTTGAACTCGCTTTACTGTGATGTCTCCCTGTTTCCAACCACCTTATTAATGATACTCCTCCTGAGTTAGCATCTATAGGTCAAATGGATATCACCTCGGCCATCTGCCCTAATAACTCTCTCCTGTAATGAAAGAAGACGAGAGCTGTTTGGGAGGTTTCTCAAGATAACAGATATATATATATATTTGTTAGAGAAGTCAGTGCTGGATCAATATTAATGCTCACGTTACTAAAGCTCCACAGAGCAATTGTTTATTATGTCAGCCGTCCCCATGCGCAGAGCCTGAGTTCAAAGGACCCAGAAGTGACAAGCTGACAGCTGTTAGCACTCTGCTGATGAACGCAGTGTTTTAAGAAGGCCTTTCCTTCTTGAGCAAATCAGAGGCAATGAGCAGGACATGTAACACTGGTTGTTAAACTGGAGCAAGACTTTCACTTCCAGGAAAGGACAGTTTTGAAGGTAAGGAGCAAACACTCCAGCCCTCTCTTGATGCAAGTCTGCACCATAATCTTGGGCTGGTCACACCGTGTTCTGCTGTCTTCCCATTAGATAACTGATGACAATTTCATCTCACAGAGGTGCAGTAAAATCTGAACTTGATAAATACATACCTCCTCAGGACTGCAGGAGAGAGAACATTACAATGAAAATGCAAGCCGTAGGGATCTGTCACCACTTCAAATGCTAGAAAAATTCTTATGCTGAACAGTTTAGGCAAGAAACCAAAACTCCTGCACCTTTCTAACAAAAAACTACTACAGAAGCACATTTCCTTCTTTGTACACCATGTTCCCATAGCACAGCAGGGACTCCAAAACCAAAGGCTTATTGAATGTATACCTTCTTAATTTGGCCACAGCTCAGTTTCAGGACAGCAATACTCAACACTTCAGTAATAAAGTTCCAAGATCACGATGCTCTGGGGTCTGTTTGTCCTTACATCTGAGCCAGAGGTACAGGAACAGAAATTCTGTCCTTATTGCACAAAAGGAGTGCAACGACCCATACCATGCTATGGTGCTCTTCTGGCTGCCCTGTTAGAGCAGGCTTGTTGCAATTTCAACAACAGGTGAGATTAAACCAAAGGCAGGAAAAAAATATATGCAAAATTATTCCAGTTGAAGAGAAAAGCACCTATGGACAAGCATTCTTCAAGCAAGAAAAACTGTGACACTATACATATAAATAAAATTTAAATTCATAGAATATCCCAAGTTGGAAGGGACTCAGATGGATCACCAAGTACAGCTCCTGGCTCCATTGAGGACCTGCCAAAAATGAGAACATGTCTGAGAGCCTTGTCCATATGTTTCTTGAACTCTGGCAAGCTTGGTGCCATGACCACTGCTCTGGAGAGGCTGCTCAGTGTCTGACCACACTGGTGGCAAGTGGACGGTTGGACTAGATGTTCTTGGAGGCCTTCTTTAAGCTTAGTGATTCTATGATTCTACAACCACATTCTTGGTGAAGAACCTTTTTCTGATATCCAGTCTGAATTGCTATTCACTTGGTCAACACTAGCCTTTTTTGGGTATCTTGAAAACAGCACCACGAGCACTTACATCTAAAGGATGTTCTAAAGAACATG